AGATTCATATCAAAATATTACTGAGACCCTTGGCTGGAATTTCAAATACGAAGAACATCGGCACGGACATTAGTTAATGAAGATTGGACCGGATGTAACTGAAACATTTCGAAACTAAGATAAAAGCACTTGATTAGACTATCATAAAATCGGTTATGCTTTATCAGACTCACCAGTGACATCATTGGTGGCAACTGAAAATTCGTTCTCTTGTGATCCCAGTTGGCTTTTAGCACATCTCCAATGACCTCTTGTATTGAAAGCCCTCGAGCAATATCCTGCAATCATCAGCAATCATTTTTCCAGGAGACGAACACAAAAAATAAAGCAAGCATGTCCCGGCATTAGCACAACCTCCACTGTTCTGATAAAAATAGACATATAAAATGAAATTTGCTACTTCACATAACTAAAGTGTACATAAGGATGAATGTATACTCACATGGAGTGGTGCCAGTTAATAAAATATTTGGATGAGCCCCACTACGTATGAGTGCATGCACACCCTTATGTACATTTAAAACAAGGAACAGATTCCTAAAAATATGGTCCTTTGAATTTGTGATTAGGAAGAAAGAGGCCTAAGTTTTGTCATAAAAAAACTGTTGTTTTTGTGTTCACGGACATGCATTTATACAGAACCCAACATAACAACATTTCCAGGACAAGAAAGCCAAATACCTGAGCAGAAGAAAGTACTTCAGGCGAAAACCTGATATACTTTTGACTTCCGTAAACAGCAGAGCTCACGTCGAAACTGCTACCGACTTTACCCTGCGCTATACAGTGAGCAGTTTGAGCTATGATATGCACGACATCCAGTTCCTTCGAGACTTGATCCCCTGGAAGAGAACTATTTTCTAAGGAAAGTTTGACCACTCCAAGGTAATGAAGTAAAGCAGCAACAACTGCAGTTGTCATAGCAGCAGACGAGCCCAATCCAGTTTTGGCAACTTCGGGTTTTCTCTTTTGTTCACTAGATTCCTCTGCATTAAAGGTGATCGAAGTGAAAGGTGGGAGAGAAGCCAGTGAATCGGGAGATAGAGGCAGGCCTCGGGCTTCAATCTGCGTGAGAGTACCCATATGAGTCTGAAAGAATCATTTTCACAAAAATAGTTTCATATCCATGTGCATGAGTAACTTTGAAAATCCTTCCACTATGCTGAAAATGTTAGGTTTAATAATTTCTGATCATAAACATCATTGAGACGTGGCCCAATTGCCAAATTAAACAAATTGTCTGGTAAAAATTCAGTAGAATAATGGCGAAGTTGAATACCTGATTTCTATATGAATAGAACTCATTGCAGCCTAAAATCGTAATGTCAAGTCCTGCATGACTAGACCAAAACAGACATTAGAATTTCTAAGTTCAGTTAGCTTTTGAAGAAAGATCGGGGAATTTCATATCCAACTTTACCTAGCAACAAAAGTTTATGTAGCTCCTCCTTCTTAGTATTGTCAAAGGTGGCATGTGCTGCTGCTATAGCATATTGTAATGCATATTCTACGAATGGGTTTCTTGAATCACTGAGTAGGCATAGCGAAAAAATTCTCTTATGTAAGCATTAATTGGCCATATGGTTCTTGCTCAGACAATAGTACGTGAAAAAAAGTAGTTCATTCTTCAATAAGTTAAGTTCAATTCATAAGCATACGCAAACACGCCACAGTTACTAGGGTCCATTACATAGAAATTTTAAATGGTGTGCTTTTCACCTTGAAGATACATACTGTAGCTGCAGATGCTTGAGAGACAGTTTATACATAGTTTCTCTACCCATCTGAGGAGATGTCAGTTTCACATCTGTCCATGCTTGAAATACAGCGAATTTTTGGTAAGAAAATAAACCACATAGTACAAACCATTTGGTGAGAACAGAGAAATAAAACATACAATTAAAATCTTGGAAACTCATTTCAAATAAAATAAACAGGCGGTATGGCAAGAGTGTCAATTAAGTGAATCAAAATTATCCATTTACGGATCAAACTTGGAGATAGAATTGCACCACAAATTATCATGATCTACCACAGAGTGTCACATACCCATGCCCAACTGTCAGGTTTAAGGTCCTCATAAAGCGGCTTGACAATAGCATAAAATCGGGCATTTGTACTTAGTACAATCCCTGCATTAGGCCTCTCCAGAATAAGATATCCACCAGTCATCAAAACTTTTCCCGGCGCAGAAGCAACCCTACTCATTAATAAATTAGAACACAATCACTAACACCATCATCACCACGAAACAAAAACATATTGTAATTAAAACAAGAACAAGCCTACTCACACTGCCATTTGTCAGCAACTATATATAGAATTAGATCTGGACAAAAGAAACAACAAAATCAAGAATTAGATGAATAACAACGAAATCAAAACAATGAAAACGGCTAGAGATGGCAATGGGGCAGGTCAGGTCGGGTACTTCACTACCCGGGCTTGCCCCGCGACCCCAACCCCGAGGACGCCCTGGTCCGTTCCCCACCTCAGGTCCAGCAGGGTTGCCTGTGACCTGGCCAGGCCCGGATGGGTTTGTTTAAAAAAAAATAATAATAATAACATTACAGTGGAAGAATAGCAAGGTTTGAAGTTTCATAGAAAAACAGTCACAAATTATTTTATGATTTATACTAAATGAAGTATAAAATACCCAAATTTTTTGTATGTTGTTCAGAATAGCTGGGATTTTATTTGAAAAATATACAGACTAATGTACAGTAAAGCCCAAAAATACTTCTCATTGCAAACATATTTTTGAATGGCGACTGGCGAGGCGACTGGCCCATGGCCTCGCCATTCGCCATGGCGAGGCCTCGTCTACACATATCAAATTGAGGAACTAAATATAGAGTATTAGACACCTATGTAATGAATTAAACAATTGAAACACATAAACAGATAAGTTAAACAGAAAAACTAAACCGAAAACCTATGTATTATACAATAGAGAAACTAAACATACAAAAATAATAAACACTAAATTATAAATAAAACAGAAACTTTTTTTTTTATTTACAAAAAAAGAACAACCCCAACACTAACAGAGGTCAGCAGCGCGTGACATACCCGGGGAGGAGCTCGTAGATGCGGGGCCGGCGCGGCAGCAGCTCCTCGGAGATTAAGAGAGCTGTCATTTATTTTAAACTATGACTGCAAATGTACAAAATGCAGAATAAACCAAAACTAAAAAAAAAACTTGATCTTTTTAAAAGGGATTCAAAATAAAAGCAAAACTATAAAAATTAAAAATAGAGTGACCAACTGATCTATACGACTATATCTAACTCAATGACTCCACAAAAAAGATTTGGCCAGTTATGCAATATTTTCATTGCTCACCATCTGAAATCTCAATCACTTAAACAGATCAGTCGGCCGACACGAGCCCCGAACCATATAGTAAGATCCCCAAATATTTTGGAAAATTAAAATGTTCGTTCATATCCCAAATAATTTCAATAAAATCTTAAAGTATAAATTATCTCAACTCTTGAAATGATGAGGGCCGCATCTCGACTAAGAACACAAGGCTAAATTAAAGGTCTGTGCGTGTACGCATGTGCTGTGGATCTCTCAATGATATGCAAATTCAAAACCGAATATTTTCGAATTTGCAGCGTCGGATTGAACTGCACTTACATGTTAACAGAAAAAAAAAATTAAGGAAAAAAAATTACCTGGTTGGAAACTTCGTATGTGAAATCTTCGCAAGAGCAAATGTTGGTGGACAGTGGAGATGATATGAAATGTGGGGAAGTAAAATTTCATTTGGTGTGCCAAATTTGAACATTTTTAGGTCCCTGAATACTTCCAGGGCCTGTTCGGTTAAACAACCCTATGATGGATTGTTAAACAACTCTATGATTTTTAGACCCGGGCCGGGTCATGTCAATTTGGTTTAGAGTTGGCTTTTGAATGAAAAAAAAATGACTAAAAATAAAATACTTGCCATACAACAAGACACGGCCTTTCATTAGGTCTTACGGAGAATTACCTCGCAACGGTAACCGTATTACATCGACGGGGACAATCGTACCGACGGCCGAATCGGCTCACGCCGATAGGCCACATGGTTTACATGCATACTTAAATCATACCAACCCAACATTAAAGTAAACACATACGGCATAGCAAATTTTATAAGTAAACCCACCTGGTTACCGAAGCGATAGATACAA